GTTTCACCAATAATGTCATTGCTGGTTATAGTAAACGGCTCAACCAAGATAGACTAGCAAAGCAAACGGCACAAGAATTTATAGTAGAAAGGGCTATAAAATCGGGAGATAGTGGGGGAAATAGCTTCAGCTAGAGCGGAGTTGGCCTCCTTGCTTATGAAGAAATATCAAGCTCTTGCAGTTAGGGATAACTTAAAAAAGAATGTATTTCGAGGCAACAAATATGGCTGCTGAATTGCGTGCTGAAAAAGTTTGGATAAAGCAGACCTATATATCGTTAGCGTCGCAATACCGGATCTGCGTAGCGTGACTACAAACTATAGCATATATGAGGCTTTCCGATTTTATTTTCAGGATCTTTTTACCAGGGAGTTCGCTCTGAGTCCGGCTCAGTTCGACATCTAGTTACGTGACTTTTCCCGCCTCGAGGCGGCTGAAGAGGCTAGGCGTGAGGGTCCGATAACAGAGGCGGAAATCTGGGATACGTTGAAGCTTGTCGACAGAGAAAGACTCCAAGTATCGATGGTCACCACTAAGAGGTTTATTTGAGGTCGTTGCACGTATTTATCCCTCTGTTGGCACTGGCCTTTTACCAATACATGAAGAATGTGAATATTCCCGAACGTTTCACAAGAGGTGAGATCAAGTTGCTTCGCAAGAATAAACACGGAAGAGATGGGTTTAATAACTTCCCGCCCTTGTTAAAAATTTTGGCCAAGGTCTTAGCCAACTATTTGCAGGCTCTCTTGCCTAGTCTGATTGGCTCATAGCAGATTTATACTGCGAAGGGTCGGACTATCCAGGACAAACTTCATATAGCGCGCTTGATCATAGAACAAACTGACGGTTAAGACGCGCTGATTAATTTAGATCAGTCCAAGACATTTGATAGTGTTGACCCTCGACTTCTCGTGACTGTACTCGAGTCTGCCGGCTTCGGTCCTTACTTTCGATCCTGGACACATCTCTTATATCGGTCCCCTGATGCAGTGGTGGAAGTGAATGTAGTAAGGTCGAAACCTTTCATATTGTCATGGTCAATTCGTCAAGGTAGCCGGCTTTCGCCGATGCTGTAAACTCTTGCAGTGAAGCCCTTCCTTCGCAAACTAAAGGCGAATCCGGTCCTGCATGGAATTACAAACGATAGCATATGTGAGGCTTTCCGATCTTATTTTCAGAGACTTTTTTATCAGGGAACCCGGTCTGATCCCGACTCAGTTCGATAACGTGTCAGCCGACTTTCCTCGTCTCTACGCGACTGAAAAGGCTAAGTGTTCGAGGGTCCGATAA